GAGAATCCTGTGGGGAAAACTTTCTAAGCTCCTTTTTATAGGGAAAATAAGATTTTTGAAGCTTCAGGAGTCAGCCATGCTGTATTGAGGAAAGTATTGGATGTAGCTGAAAATACTACTCAGGGCCAGTGAGATGACTCAGCTAGGAAGCCTAGTGACCCGAGGACCCACAAGGCAGAAGGAGGGAACTGACTCCTGCAAACTGTCCTCTGACCTTTATACGCATGCCATGAAATGTGTATGCACTCAAGAACACACATAAAGACACAATATCTAAATACACTGAAGTGTTTTAGAACTAAAAGAAGACACAGAAGCTATGGTAAATACAAAACAATTTATTTGAGAACATAGAGAAGGAGAAGATAAAACAGCTTTCTGCACATGCGTGTGTTTCTTGATCAAAACACATTTAAAGCTAAGAGAGTCGAAGAGGGTATGAGGGCAGCAGGGGTGTGAGTCAAGTATTTTATGTGCATGTAACAAAATATCACAAAATTCACTACCTGGAGACTTCATATGCGCTTTAACAGAGGCAGTGCCTGAGTGGAATGTTACTCTACACTACATAGGCCTTAACTACCCAGTCTGCCTTCTGAGGCTTCAGAACTTAACTATGCGCCAAACTGTGCAGAAAATCCCAGAAATAACCCCTAAGTTTAAAATTTTAAAAAAGGCCTAAAGAAAATATCCAGCATGTACTCCTTACTTAAGAATTTATTTTCTCAAGAGTGAGGGGGGAAATGGAACCTCAATATTCAAGAGACATTAGAGAATGCCTCAACAACTGGAAAAAAAACAGTCAAATTAGAAATAATGTGTAAAGCTTACAAGCAATGTTAAAAAAAAAGATTATTTCTAAGTAAGTTCACATTAGAATTCTAATTTTCCAAGTATGTCATTAATCAATACTTAGTATAAAGACTATATTTTAGAATTGAGAATGAAATATTTTATAAATGAAATTAGAAACAAAATAACAGAAAAATAGTCATATCTTATTAGATATATATTTATCATATATTGGAACTCTAAAATTCTAAATATGGGTGGGGCTGGAGATGTGGCTCAGCGGTTAAGAGCTCTGGCCGCTCTTCCAAAGGATCTGGGTTCAATTCCCAGCACCCACAATGGCAGCTCACAACTATCTGTTACTCCAGTTCCAGGGGATGTGGCATACATACAGGCAAAACTCCAATAAAATTCTAAATATTATGCTACTTGTCTAAAATCTAAAAGTTACCAATAGTCTCTAAGGAGTTTCTCTGATAAATTAGGCTGGGATGCTGAAATCTGCACCATGTACACATCCAGTCCTGCTTGGTCACCATCCAGCATCACCTGAACTCTTCCCCAGGGCCTTTGTGGAGGTTCTGATAACAAAAATTCTCTTGCCTGGTAACCATGTTCAAGGATAGCTTCCTATCAGGAATCCACAGGAACAAACTCTCTCCTCATTGAGAGTGGTCTTTCTAACAACTTATTACTTTCTTTCCTCAGGATGTTGGGTTTCAGGGTGCCACAGTGGATTCCACTTTAAGAGCAAATGCTGACTCCCGTGGAATTTCTTAGAAAATACATACTCATCCCCAAGCGACTAGCCCAACTCCTGAGTTCTAACATGGAAGTTGTAGAGATGCAACTAATATGTACTAAGGAGCAGAATTTTCTTCAGATAGCTATTATTTTATAGGTCTGTATTTAAAAAATATTTTAATTTTTTTTTCCTTTTGAGACAGGTTCTTTCTACATAGCCCTGGCTGTCCTAGAACTTACTATGTGGACCAGGCTGGCCTTGAGCTCACAGAGATCCATCTGCCTCTGCCTCTCTAGTGCTGGGATTAAAGGTGTGCGCCACCATGTCTGACAGAATATTTCAATTCTTGAGGTAAATTAACTAGGACAAATTGATACTACTTTTAAAAACTCACAAAAAGATTATATAGTTTGAGTCATGATTGTGTATTTTGAAGAACATACATATCCTATAGTAAAATGTCCCAAAAGTCCCAAAGATAATAGAAAACACTCAGGGAAAATATTTTTTTATTCGAAATTTCAAATTTCTAATATCAATGAGAAGAAGAAAAATGGTGCCAACAGTCTGACTGCTATACTCTGAAGCTGGAAAATGTATGTGATGTTTATTGTAGATCGTGTAAAGGGTTCTTCCAAATGACCTCTTACAGGCATGTTAGGGAAAATCAGGCCAGGATATTCTTGTCAAGCTGATATGACAACTGTATGCCGTGCACTCCGGCAGTCAATGCTGACAGAAAAGATGAACTAGTCAAGAGGCCCAAAAGTCATGTTTTTAAAAATAATCCAAACCATCATAATTGCAGGCTTCAAGAAACTGCTCAGACTGTGACCTTCACTCTTAAGCCCCAAGCCGTAAGGCAATCGTGCTTAAAAGTTTCATAATGAAAAGTTACATAATTGAAGCAGCTCCCAGCTGAAGGGCAAATTACATGTAAATTCTTCTCTTTATCTCTCACTCCCTTCTCTTTGTGTGTGTGTGTGTGTGTGTGTGTGTGTGTGTGTGTGTGTGTGTGTGTGTGCACAAGCTGAGATTTAAACTCAGGGTCATGAGCATGCTGAGCTCACTCTATCACTGAGGTACAGCACCAGCACAAGTCACACAAGAAAGCACATTTGAATACTCAATGTGAGCTCAAAACTAGGACCTCATTGTTTTGACTTGTTGAAACCTCATGATTCTCTATAATGACATTATCAGAACGAAACAGATGGTCCAGCTCTCATGCCTAGGATGACTGCCATCTTCCAGATTATTCTCCAATACAAATCATCTTGCTAGTATTAATTACTTTGCATCTATTCATTAGTTTGGGGCCTTTAAAACACTAAAACTATGAGGCAAGGAATAAGAACCTTAGAATTATATAACACAGCACATACACGATGGAAATTAAACCCCAGTCCTTCGCAAGAACAGCAAATGCTGTTAACTGCTGGTTAACAGCCCCTTAACATTTTTATAAAGCCATATTTTGTTTCCCAAATTATTAGAGAGTGCTCCCTAGACCGATCAAATGTGTTCATAGTTGAGGCACTGTAACTCAGCATTTACTGTAATATTGTTCAGTGGGCACTGGACCTTATAATTACCACATCATTGTAAGCATAGTATAATTACAGTTAAACTATAAACAACCTTACTGATAAAGAACCTTTCAGCAGTAAAGATAACCTGCATGACAGTACACCAAGATGATTTCAGGTCATAATTATGAGACTTTAATGAGGTTCATCTTTAAACACATACAAGATGTAGACAGACAGTGACTATTGCTATATATATGTCTTATAGCTTTGATAGATCCATATTTACCTGAGTTCCAGAAAAGGTAAGTTTTAAATTTCAGCACAATATACACAATATAAAATTGGCCATTCAATAGACTTGCAGCGTACAGTTCGGTGGTGCTAAGTACATTCCCGATGTCTGACCATCAATGCCACCCACTTTCAAGACTTGCTCATCTCCCCAAACAGAATCTCTGCACCTGCTGAACACTAACTTCCGAGAGCACCTCCTCCCTCCCGTGGCAAACACTTACTATCTCTACCAACTTGACTCACAGTGGAATGAAACCACATCTGTCTTTCCAAGACCAGTTTATTTCATTAGCAGTTTCCCAGGGCTCATCCAGGTCAAGGCATGTATCAAAAACTCATTCCAGTTAATGTTGACTGCCATTCCAGTGTATGTATATACCACAATTTGTTTGTCCACTCATCTACTGATGCCACGAACACATTGGTTGGAGACAGAAAAGGTTTACTTCGGAGTCAATACAATGAAGGCTGTGGTTTAGTAGTGCTGGCCTTTAATTCTAGATCTCTGGAAGCTGGGACAGTCAGATCGCTCTGAGTTAGAAGCCAGACATAGCAAGTTCCGACACACCAAGCTCCAGGCCAGCCAAGCTACACAGTGAGATCCTGTCTCAGGGAAAAAAAAGGATTAATGAAGAGATAGATAATTCACCTGCATTTGCCTTTTCTGAGGCCTTTTGACAAAGATATGATTAAGCATTTATGAGCACTTTTCCTAATATATTCTTCACACTGATGTCTAATTGGATGATGATAATTTGGTTGAAAATGTGTGCATTTGTCAAAAAAGGACTGAAACTAAGTAAAACATTCAACAGGCTAGAGTTAGAATCAATTTGTTAGGATAAATTAACAAGAAGATTGAGATTTTAAAACAATTTTTTTATTTTTTAAAATATTAATTCTTTGAGATTGTTGTATAATTTATTTGGATCATATTCACCCTCCCTCCCCAACTCCCCATTTTGTGTCTTCTTTAAAAAAAAAATCAAGTCCAATTTGTGTTGTTCAAATATTCTTGAATATAAGCCTGCCCTACAGTGTGATCCAATACCAGAAAACACACCCTTGAAGAAAGTCCACTCTTCCTCTCCCAGCAGCTATCAAATGCCAACAGCTTCTCAGCGAGGGTGTGACTGATACCCACCTCACCACTCTCAATGCTGACAACTATGCCCATCGAGCTACAGGTTGCTGAACCAGACGACATTGCCAAGCATGGTTCTATCTCATTGATCAGGCCTTAAATCCAATCAGAGAGCAGTTGGATATTCCCTTAACACTCATGAGCATATCTTAAGAGGACAGTCATTACTGCAGCTCCCAGGGTTCACAGAATGGTGATTATTTTTCCTTTCAGTAGCATGCATAGCACCTTCTGACACTTCTGAAAGCTAGTCAGAAGGGATGAAGTTTCTAGGTCCACATCCACTTAGTTTCTCCATTACATAAAACAATTTTAAAATTAACATACAAAAATGATTTTCTAAGGGTCATTATATTATCCATGTCATATTTCATAAAGTTTTAAAGAATATTAAAATTTAAAAAATAGATACAAAAATTTAAACATTCTTAATTTGTTTGTAGCATAATGTGAAAGATATTTAATATACATTTTTAAAAGCTTTATAAAAATATTTGCCCATAAAACAAAACAACAAAGTGAAGTTTATTGGATACAGTAATATAAATTAAAAAAAAACAATTTGACATGCATTGAATAAGTTCCTAATTATCCACTAAAATGCTATTAAAATCATTTAAATTTGATATGAATTAGTTCAAATAGAATTTTAGAATTACTGTCTAGAATTGGAGGAATACTTGACACCTCTCAGAAGTCCTTCCAATTATTCACACAGGATTCTGATGAGTTTTGCTACTACATGCACATTGAGGCTGTTGCCAAGGAGACGGTAACGCTGCTTCACTGTTATCTTCTCAGGAAATCCTAGAAAACAGAGGTGGCATTTATAATACAGTCCCTTGCAATCCTAGTTTCCAGAAGTAAAAGATACCTTTAATTCATTTCATAAACACATTCATGTCTTCTTGGCAGTGTCATGGTCAATGAAGGCATTATGCATGATGGTGGACTATACAATGTATCACCTTGTGATGCTGAAGTTGCGTTTGTGTAAGCATACTCTAGGATGCTCATGCATGAAATTGCCTAAGGACACAATACCAAGAAAGTATACCCATAGCTAAACACAAAAGATGGTAGATGGCTAATATGACCATGGAATTTTACACATAAATGAGAATTTGGAGGCCCAAATACTGTATAACATCATGCTATAATGTTATACAGTCAGGTGCTGTATAACACAATAATATAGTATCAGAGTATGGTTAATGCAAACACACACTGACGAGTTCACAGAAACATGGGTTATTACACTTGGACAAATGGTTGCTACTATTTTTCTAGGTAGTTTTTTTTTTTTTAAACAACACTTTTATGGAGCTCTACTTCACATACCATAAAATTTACCTTTTAAAATATATGCCTCGTGCATTTTAGGATAGAGTTCTCAAACATCTTCATTTCCATTGCTTCAAAATAAAAATACCCATGTACCCATCGGCAACCAGTCACTCCCTGCTCCCTGTCTTTGTCTACCCTCAACCACTGCTTTTTGATGCTACTACACATCTGGCTATTCTGATTTCATATACATGGAATCAAGAGATGTGTTGTATGCCTGCCTATTTACAGTTAGAATAATTCATTCACATTATAGCAAAATTTAGTACCTACTTTTTATTACTTAATAATATTTTTAATGGAAGAGACATATTTTGTTTATTCATTCATTCACTGGTAAACATGCGAGTTGTTTCTCCTTTGGGATATTATATGTCATAATATATACATGTTATGAGAATCTTTTCTTGGCCGTGTATCTAGAGGTAAAAGTGCTGAGTCAGGTATGAGTTTAATGTCTGCAGAGACATTAGCACTGCTTCATTTTACTCTAGTGAATATGAAGGACTATTTCACAGTGGTTTCACATACATTTCTCTAATAACTAATGATGCTTAACATCCATTTCATGTGTTTATTGGCTATTTTCCTATCTCCTTGAAAAAAATGTATATTCAAACCATTTTCACATTTTTATGTTGGATTATTTTCTTTTTATTGTTGAGTTGAGGAGGTCTTTATATATCCTGTATATAGCTGGTTTTCATAGTTTGCTTCTATAAACTGATTTTCTCTTATCTGATTTAGTCACATACAGTATGATTTGGCATAACAAATGAAGCAAAAGAAAATTAGACAACAAGACAAAGGAAATAATTAAGAACATTAAAGATAGTACAATTTCATATATTTGTAATGAAGGACCATTACATAAAATAGCTTCACCAATATTAGGCTCCATAGTAACTGTAATAAGATAACTGTAAATACTATAATAATCCTGTCATCCTCAATTTTAAGAATGACTGCAAAGCTTACATGCTACAGACAGTGAGTCGCAGGCATCCACATTACTAATCTCAAAGACTATTTAGTTCCAAACACCAGAGACACAAATGTGTTTATAAATAACCTTTTACACTATCCTAGGGAATGATCTTTTGCATTATTAAGACTACACTAAAGGGAAAGGTGAGTTTAGAAACAGAATTTTATTTTATATAGATATTAAAGTCTAAACTGCATGATGGAAAAATTAAATAGTTTTTAAGTTAAAGATGATTTAAGAAAAAACCTTGATATATTAAAGTAACGACAGTCTTCAAAAACAAAACCACATAGAATGTACAAGGTCAAGACAGCAGCTTTCTCCCAGTAAAGATCAGTGTCTCTCTCCTAAAGCCAACTAGTCACAGACATGCAAGTTGTCAGTCACAAGACACCAGGACAAAATGAACAGAAAGATCGATATGAATCCATCACTGCCAGGGGACAAATGGCTCAGACAATGTCCAGTTTTGTACCCACAGCCTATGCTGGAACCACACATGAAGGACAGTTGTGTCATGTTCTACGGTAACATCTGGGCAAGACTGTCAACACAAGCATATCATATATTTTAAAAGAGAATTAGCAATTTAAAATATGTAACAATAACAAAAAATGAAGCTATGAATTTGAGAAAGAACGAGGAGGAGGCACATGGGAGTGGTTGGAGGGATGATAGAGAAGGAAAATGATGTGGTTATATTTTAATCTAAAAATGTTACAAATTAAATGGAATTAAAAATTAAGAGACTCTTCATATAAATTTTGTATACAAATACATTTGAAGAACCTCAAGAAAATCTATTTTACTCACCTCAAATTTCAAAACAGAAAAACTATTCATGAAATTTATAAAATAAACAGTACCCATCTCTAGGGTCTACCAAGCTGGCTCAGTGCCATTGCCTAAAGATATGAGTTCATGAGACCTATATGATAAAGACAGAGAACCAACTCCTGCATACTATCTTTTGATCTACACATACATCATGGCACTTGCACATATGTGCACACACACACACACACGTGTGCACACACAAATAAATAAATAATGTAATATTTAAAAATTATTTCTCTATAATTTAAAAATTAAAACCAACATAATTTTTCTAGGATCTTATATAGGCATTTAAATATACTAACTCAGTCAACTGTCATAACACCTCATAAAGTGGGTGTTATATCTACATTTTACAAACAAGTCAACTGAAAGAGAAAAGTTAATATAAGGTAGAGCAACAAAGACTATAGCTCGGTCTGACTCTGGCCCTCCAAATCCCTTATCAAGTTTCAAAATTACCATGGTGACCACAACTCTAGAGGTAAAATAATCAGTGTACTAAGACTTAGGAACTCATTTTGATTAGACAATCAATACTTTTAAGTAGTATGCAGACTACATCTGCTTGTTCAAAATACGAAGAGAATAGTAACTAGGAAAGCAGACTGGAAACTGGAGTGAGTCCAACCCTCAGCTCCTAAAGCTCTCTCCCTTTGTGACATAAACCAAGGAAAGTCTTCCTTTCTTTAGTGACAATCGCTAAAACACTGAGGATTGAATGAGATGACCAAAAGAGGAAAAAAGGGAAAAATAGCAATTTTTTTCTTAAATTAAAAAAAAGTAGACTAAAATTAGAGCATTTCGACTGCTCTTCACTCCCACGTCTCTCTCCTATGCCCTCACTCCTGCTCCCTCTCAAAATTATGGTCTCTTTTTCAATTGTTATTGTTATACATACAAACACACACATAAAGCATTTATTTACACACACCTACATTTATAAATGCAAATTGCAACAGTGATAAACTTTCAAAGGACAGGGAGTAAAAAATAAGCCCGGCTGCTGTGATTATGTTCACAGAAGCAAATACTGAGAGCAGTTAAGTGGGACAGCCAACTTGTTGTCAGTACGAGAGGACTGTGTCCCAAGACCTCATCTGTAAGTTTATTATCCAGAATCTGAAACCCAATCTCTTTGGCCCATTATTCATCTCACAAACATGCATCGATATCACAACTCTACTGGATATAATAAATCTCCCTTCTATATTCAAATCCTCAAGCAGAGTTCTCAGAGGCAGAGTTCCTCCTCCTTGGCCTTGGAGGCATGCTGGGTGGGTCTGTTTGTGCCTCTGCCCATTTAGTCAGGTATGGAGAGCACCTGAGCCCTGGTGTAAGAAAACATGGATCTCTTAGAGCTGAACACTGGTGGCAATGGAAGGTGGGGGGGGTGGGGGGTGGGGGGGGGTGCTTACAGTCACTGCAAGCACACAGGGCAGTGTCCAAGCTTCATGGCACTAATCCCTGGATTTCCTACACTATGGTGGAGTTAGGACTTTGGCTTCCCTCTATCTTTGCTTTTGTTTGTAAATTCCCCTGCTGTAGATCCCCTAAGGATCTTGAGTGCCCCTTACATTCCTTATAGCAGAGAACAAAGGCAAATAACTGATAATGTAGTTTTGCCCAAGTGAAAAAACAACCACAAATACAACCCGTATCCAACAACTGGTTAACTCAACTACCCTTTACCTTCTTACAGTGAAAATGCCAGACGAGCCTAGCAGAGTCTGCTGTATAGCCTGTAATCCTAGCTACCGAGGGGGCTGAGGAGGAGGAGGATCATGAGTTCAAGGAGAACCTGGGCTAAAAAGTAGCCTCATGACTACCTGGTCAACTTAAAAAGAGCCTGTCTCATTATAAAAATAATTACAAAGGGAAAGGCAGGGGAATGTAGCTTGGTGTAGCATAGTTGAGGCCCTGAGTTAATACAAATAACAAAATGAGTCAACTGAAGGGATTTTTCCCCCTCCACACACAATCTAGTATGGACTTTTCAAGTTCGGACCTCTGGAAACAAAGATGTAAATAGAAAGGGGATTCTATCCACTGCCTGAGGGAATTAGTAATCACTATTTTACCCTCAGCCTGATTGGACTGACTCACTACCAGATGTAAGGGGAAAACAGGGTCAGAAGGGAACTGCCTGAGACATGACTGCAGTGCAGACCAGTCAGGAAAACGCCAAAGCTGTCACAGCAGAAAGCAGGGGGGATTCCTAAACTCACCTGTCATGCATGGCTTCATTCATAAAATCACATGTGAGTTCCTAACAAAATTCTGAGAACTCCAATAAAGAAAAGCTGTGGTCTACATGGATCCCACATACCGAATTCTGGAGGAAATCCCTGAAGGTTTGCAATTTCTCTGGGTGTGAAATATCGCAGTTTAAGCAGTGACAACTTAGCTATCTTTTCTTCTGGTGTCAAATCATTAAGAGATTTGAAGATATTCTCAATCTGTTAAAAAAAAATCCAAGAGAAATTAAACAATACCGAGTGACCCAACTTCACATTTGCAGTTGGGAAGCTGCTGAAGAACAGTGGACGAGCGATCTGCTGTGCCACACGGTAGCAGAATGTATAAGCAAAGAGTCCCTGTGCAACAACTGTGTAATTGGCTCAATAATGGCCATTTAAAATTATTATAATATTCTTAAATTAAATATTTAACATTATTGAATGGAAAGTTTGAGTTTAAAAACACACATGGTACCTGCACATCGTCTGCAGTCTGTAACACTGAGCCTGTCCCTTCAATGTAGCTTCCGTACCTGAAAAATTCACATGAATAATACATAATACCCAATGTATTTTAATGCCAATTATCTGTGTGTGTGTGTGTGTGTGTGTGTGTGTGTGTGTGTATGTGTGAGTCTGTGTGCTGTTTATGTGTACGTAGGTGTGCATGTATGTGCATGTATGTGAAAGTCTGAGGACAACCCTGGGTATCATGCCTCAAGCATAGTCCAATGTTCTTTGGAGACAGGCTCTCTCACAGGTATCAAACACACCAAACAGGTTAGGCTGGCCACCCAGCAAGGTCCAGTGATCTGCTGTTCTCACTTCCCCAGAGCTGAGGTCGCAGGTGCATGCCACCATGCCTAACTATATTTGACATGGATTCTGGGGTTCTAATTCTCACCCTTGTTCTGATTAAGAACACTGTACTGATCTGAGAATCCCCCAAGATCTCTCTAAAAAATATTTTTAAGTGATAAAGTATTTCTTGGATGACATACATTTATATTCTTCTGAAACATCTTGAGTAGTCGCATATAAATATGCTTTGTAATTTAAATAAGACAAAAGACATAATTCTATCGAAACTTCTCAGAAACTACACGTGGCAGTTGAGTTGTAGAAACACCACTGAATGATGTATTAGCATTTTTTATTAACTGTCATATTTGCAATGTTCCTCATTAGAAAGTACACACTATATTACAAAAGTCCATGCCACATTAAACCATATGTATAGATGAAAACATACTGCTATTATTTTTATAATGCCTGAATTAAAATTTCTTTTCAGCATCGAAAATCTTCAGCCCCCTAATACCACATAGATGTGCTTCACTGAAACTAAACCTGAGTTTAACTTTCATTAACTCAGTATTCTTTTATTATCATTTTCATTTAAGAATTAGTTTAAAAATTGTACAAGAAGTATAAAATATTTCAGAAATGAAAGGTAGCATTATTTTTCTGTTGATGCCAAGCTGGCTTTCCACCACATAAACACTCTCTTTTCACAATAAGGACAATTTAAACTATAAACTAGGAAAGTACATCAGGGAAAAATACTGTTTCACACTGCCTCTTCATATGCGCTACACAGTTAAACATGTGTGTGTGTGCCATCTTTTTAGCAGAAGAGACTGCCACAGTAAGGTTTCCTTTATGTCATCTTTATTACATGAGAATATCAAGGTTGCTTTTTATTACAAAATTGATAAGTACTATTTTATGAGAGTCCTAAGCAGAACCTATTGCACTTGGTAATAGATAACAGCTGAGTGGAGTCTTTTACAGTAATAAGTTCTTTCTCCTGCAAACACAGAGGCAGATTATAAAATCAGGCTGAGCCTACGTGGCTGCAGGAGAGACTAAAACCAGCAGACAAAAAGATGGTTTGAACTGTCACATCACACAACTGCCTACCCAGTGAATGAAGTTGAGGGGCACGCACAAAATAGATAGGGTCTTTAACTTTTTTTCCTGAAAGGTCCAATTTTCCCCATCACTCTAAGCTTTTTAAAAATTGTCATAAGTCAAGAAAAAACCCAAAGCAAAACACTAAAATGTTTAACCATAGGCAACCAATAAAACAAATTATGATCCTCTTTTACCATGAACATAAGAACGATTTTTATATTACCATGGCAACAATATCCAAAGAAGATTAGGAGTGACTACCCTCCAAGCCAGCAGCCACCATTTTGGAAATGCATCGATGTTCTCTTAGGAAAGGTTACCCCAGCTGGGCCTGTTGACTGCTTTTGTCTCTCATGGAGGGGTGGGGAGGGTTAGAGACTTCACCCGAGTATCCAGCTGCTCCCTACCACCTGTTCTGTGCAACTCTGCCTTCGCTATTATGGCTTCAGGGAGGACTGGAGCACATAGGTCAGGGAAGACTAGATAAAGGATCCTCCATCTGTGCAGACACAGGCAAGCCATCATCCCTACTGGGTAAAGACTTTCCAGGGGCAGCCTGCTGGGGGTCAGGAGTACCCACATCACTTTAAGTAACCCCTTATCTGTGCTATGGAAGGAAATGCAATAAACTCATTGGTAAACTTTGGTGGAATCATGCCACGGTTTGTGGCTGGGACATTAGGAATAGGGGCATTCTTGCCATGGTGAGAAAAAGTTCTTTTATGTTCATCCCGAGAAGCAATATTAGCAACAACACCTTTGGAAGGCCATGCAGTACATTGATACCACAGGCTGGTAACAAAGACACTAGACGGCCAAGAGACAGATATATTAGGGAGTTTCATAATCTTAGTAACTTTTGAATTTTGGAACATGCGAATACATTTCAAGACCTATTAAGTTTTAGTTTTTAAACTGTAACTGGATAATTCAATTTTATTTCTTTAAACTAAAATATAATTCCTTTTGATACACTGATAGAAATCACTCTCATGGTTTGATGTGTCTCACAGAAAAAAAGGTGACAAAAAGACCAATTCACAAACTACAGGAATCAGGTTAACACAAGTATTTAAGCTATACAAAGGCCATTCACAAATGACCTTGTCCTCTATGAACACTTGGTGGGTGGTGCACAGAATGTTCTGCACGAGGAATGTTCACTCATGCTCTACTGGCAATTAGGAAAGAAGTCAGGCTAAAAGAAACATTTTATCATCAAACACTTCTTGTTCTGAGAAAAACTAAAAGGCGAGCTATGACCCATGATTTCAGATATAACACGGAGGAAACTGCTTTCAAACTTACCCTTTGGTAAAGCACATGGACCTTCTGGAAGTGGGCTTAACGATATCCAATAAAAGAGCATATCGCAGCAATAACTTGGGGGGTAAAAAGTACTGATTTGTGTCATCATCTTCAAGAAAATCTTTCAGCATCTGCACAGAGAGGTCACTGTCCTGCTGGAGTTTCCTGTCAATTTCTTCTGCAGTTTCAAGCTTAAAAAGAATGGTATCTTTGCCAGAACACTGTGTGCTGCTGCTATCCAAGCAGATATTTGGTTCAGTTCTCTGTACTCTTAACTTATCTTCTGCAACTACTGCATGGTTTTGTGGCTGCACAGTTGCAATTTTAGGAAACTCCATCAGTATCTGGCATTAAATAAAAAAATATAAACTGACAAAAGTTTTACTTAAAATAAGATATAAATCAATAATATCAATAGAACATGTAGAAACCTTTTTAGCCTTTATAAATAAGGTTGACATAAAAAAAAAACAGACATTGTGGTTTGATTTTATGTCCATGAGTTATTGTCAGAAGTTATTAATCATACAGCCATACAGAAAGTAAGCTGCAGAGGACTTATTTCACAGAATTCCTGTTTGATGTACTTATTAACGGAAAAGCTCACCAAATATAAACACAGCAGCACAACTAGAAGTAAGTTTAAGAAGCAATGTTGGCATTGGAAAATGTGCTCAGAACTAAAGATTACCAAACTCCTTCATTAAAAAGAGAATGCTGTAACATACTCAAACATAAAACAAAACTCACAGTGTTTTCACTGAGAATACTTATGTCCCAGGGGGCCTCCCATGGAGGGGTGGGCAGTGGGGATGATTTGATTTGGAAACTCATAATCTTGTATAAACTTCTATTTTACAACTGAGAAAACTACTCAAGGAATTTTTAGTGATTAAGTCTTCCCTAATACGGTTTTTACATTGTTTCTGGAACTGTCCAGTAGAGAAAGAGCGCTTGTCACAGAGAGTCAAAATGATAACTGGTCTTCACTAGCAGAGTGACAGGCTGTGAGCTGTACTGGAGATGACTATGCCGAGCAAAGCTCTTTCAGCCACTGAAACTGTTACCTTTCCTCATTTCTCATGAAAACATAAAATTATTCATCAAGAGTCCCAACTTAGCAGCTGAGAATTTGTATAAGCTAATGACTAACTTATACTAATCATTACTACATTTTAAACCAATTAAGACAAATAACATTGGCATCAGGGAAAGTATAATAAATATGTTTAAACAGGCCATTTTCAAGACAGCATATTACATTTCATCAGAAGTAATCAATGGCTTTAACTGGGAAGAGAGAACGACAAATGTAAAAGTCAGTGGTCCTTGAAGTTATGGGGAGACAAGGAATAACAATACTAATGATAATTTTTAAACTTATGAAGCCTTTATGAGTTTTAGCTTTAATTAGTTTAGTGAAAAGTAAACTAAAGAGAGAACAGAAATAAAAGTAAACATCAGGAGAAGCAGAGACCTGGAATGGACATGAAGATGACCTATATTATACACTCTATACACAGAAGCCTGAAGCAGTTACTGAGAAGAAATTAGCAGACTGAGATCCATTCACAAGTAAACAGTAATAGCAGCAGCAGCAACACTACCTGACCAGAGGCCTGAAAAGGGAAAGGCTCTGACTGCCGCTTCGCAATGAGAAAATACCGTAGCCTTGAGTTTGGAACACCAAGCTGCAAGCAGAGCAGAGAAATTAGTTACCACATGGAATGGAGGAGATCTGGAGCAACTTCAGCACCTACACAGAGACTCAGACAGATGTGCACCCGGTTTCTGCCAGTGCAAATGTTGCTACTGATTTCTGGAAGTCTTCTTTACAGAAGAATCTAAGCCAATTACATCGCTGCTCTGTACTTTTCATTGAATGATGGTTATCCCTGACAAATCATGTATCCATGGGTCATAATTCACAAGTAAGAAATAGAGACATCTTGTATTTACTATTGATAATATAATAGCAGTAAAAACATTAACTTCACATATAGATATTCTTGCTATTATTACTTTTCCTTTTGAAGAGGAGGATTTACCATACTCTAGAAAAGGCAATGATCTGAAATAAAGCTAACGAGATCAGTTACACTGCCAGTTCTGACAATTTACTTAGTAAATTTTTAAAATAGATTTTCTTTTCATTTGTGGACAAACAACTATATAATATAACTAATGATGATAAGAAACTAAAAAGAAAAACAACAAATACAGCAACATTTACAAAATCAATCTTTCAAATAACAAGTGCTTTGATTTCTTACATGAAATGAAAACAATGCTTACAACCTAACGTCATGTAACAAAAAGGAATTATAAATAATATGCCCACTTCGCTTTCAATCTTAGATTACTTTGAGCATTATAGCATGCGAAAACCTAATTTAAACACGTAGAACTAACTCATTTTCAAAACCTATATTTGTTTATTTTCCTAAAAGAAAAATGCATGAAATTTAATGAACTTATTTTATGTACAAGTAAATCAACAAGCATGCACCATGTTCTTCAAAAAGTAAGAGCCATGTCTGAGCCAATTTAACCCTTGTACGAAATATTAAAAATAGATCTATTTGGTTATTACATTAAATACCCAGTGGGGGAAGCCCTGAAATGATCGATTACGTAAGGGTCTGTAATTGTGGTACCTACAGAGGAAGGAGATAACAGAAATTCTTGATGCTGAAAGCCACAAGCTTCTATCGTTTGTATCAGCAGCTCTCTGGAAAGAGAAAAGGAGTCAGAGAGAAACGCTCCCAGCCCTTGCTTAGACATGGCATTCTTTTTTTTTTTTTTTTTTTTATTTTACAATACTATTCAGTTCTACACATCAGCCATGGATTCCCTTGTTCTCCCCCTCCCGCCCCCCTCCCCTTCCCTCCATCCCACCCCCCATTTCCACCTCCTCCAGGGCAAAGCCTCCCCCAAGGATAGACATGGCATTCTTAGACAACAGCACACACTTCATCATAGGGAAAAACCCAACTCTACTGAAGCCACTCAGAGACAAGGCTCCTAGGTTATTACTTGAGAAATGACATTTTATTTATTTTTTTTCAATTTAGTAAATATTTTATTTTTTAATCTTCTCTCATATATTACACCCTGACCACAGTTTCCCCTCACTTTCCTCCCCCAGTTCTAAGACATATGCAAGACAAATATATTTTTTTACCTTGTAGATGATACTTCAAAACCTTTAACATTTTCTAGAAGAATATACTTGGGTAATTTTTGCAATCTAAAAACCAAAACCAAACAGAAATGCAACTAGTTCATTACAAAGAAGCAAAAAGAAAATCCTAACTTGTGAGAAGTGGAAGTTTAAGTAACTCTCTACATTTTTTTTTAAAGAATTTTAAACCCTATTTTATTCATTTTCCCCAAGACATGGTATACTTGGAAAAGTTCACACTGAGGAGTTAATGTCCACTGAAGCACATCTCAAAATCTGGCTTTCACAGGCCTTCTGCACAGCACAACTCAAAGGGCTGCCACTCAGCCACGGTGGCAGCGTTCACTAGCATGGCTGCCACTCAGCCACGGTGGCAGCGTTCACTAGCATGGCAACATCTACGTGACTAATAGGAATGAACAGAGGCAAGAAAATGTAGCTGGCTACTAAAAGTTCTGTCACTCACTATGGAGTGACATTTGCTGTCATTTTATTAGTTCTGACAAGAGAAGGGTGCATGTGGCAACTGTTAATCTCTACATAATGGCAAACATTACATCCTTCCATGCCCATAGTTTTAAATTTAAGAAAAGTTTACAAAAATCTAAATTTTTACCTTGGGAGAATATCTAGAATATATAAGAAGCTATTTGTCCTTGGATCAGTCATATCCCCCTGTAGGCCAATTCTAAAAAAAGCAAAGAAAACACAAAAAAAAGTTATCAAAAATTTTGTATAATGATACCAAAATGACTTGGTTAACTAAGAGAATTTAAGTAAGTTGATCTTCACCATAAGAAACAAAACAGAAAAGAAAGAAAACAGGCTGGTGGGTGGGTAGTAATCCAGAGCAGATGCCACTGGTGATAACCGCCATTTCAACAGACTAGACAATAAGGAATCCTGAGATAATCTTGTCCGGGGTAAACAGACCCTTGACCTCCGGATTTGGACAAACTAGGGTCAGCACATGGAATCGGGCAGCACCAGGCTAGCAAACAGACCGGACAAAGTTCACAGCATGGCCAAGGTTCAAGTAGAATGGAACACTTGCATGGGTTCTGAAGAACAGGGGCAGAGGGTCAGGGTTTCCACTTCGGTGATTAGCGGCTTCATGGCCCTAAGCTACGTGACATCTCCGTCAATCTATCAGTGGGGTCTGAGGTTTAAAGGCTGGGGATTAAACTGGACTTAAAGAGATTCCTCAGAAATCTTCAGTTTTAATATTCGGTCCCTTCCCACCCAGAGTTCAGATAACAACTAGAGCCAGTGCCGGCATCAGCAGCTGGAAACGGGCAAACATACAGTGAAGATGGTGAGAGGTTAGATCCCGGACCCGCTGCAGCAGTACATGTACTCAGGCTGAATCCTGCTCTGTGCACACTGGGCCACACTCTCCACATGCTTAAAGCCACTTTCATATGCCACACTCTCTGTCTTCTTTGACACATGCCATCTTGTCCTCAGTGTTCTCATGGTACTACCAGGGATCTTACAGTACCAAATGTCACATTTATATAACACTAATTTATGAGTCATTCGTTTCAATTATAACTCCACAGATCAGCAACTACAGCATCAAACACACTGTATGGCACATGGGCACAATAACCCCAGGGAGATAAGTTTCATCAAGTTCAATGATGTTAAAATGCAACACAAGAATATTCATCTAGCTGGGCAGTGGTGGCACACGCCTTTAATCCCAGCACTCAGGAGACAGAGCCAGGCGGATCTCCGTGAGTTCAAGGCCATCCTGGGCTACCAAGTGAGTCCCAGGAAAGGTGCAAAGCTACACAGAGAAACCCTGTCTTGAAAAACAAAACAAAAAACAAAACAAAAAGAATATTCATTTAAATCAAAATATTTATTACCTAACACTTCAGCCAGTCATATAATAAAAATTTATAAATGATTAATAAATAATGGTTCTGACCTTTGTCTAACTGTATAGTTATGGAAAAGTTAACTTTTCTATGCCTCAGTTTCTCACCTACAAAATAATAGTAACAATAAGACTCCATTAATATGGCTACTTAAAATAATTTATTTTGTTAAACAGAGAAAATGAATTTGGTTTAAGACACAATTCCTTGAGACACATTGTTGACAATTACTACATAAACCTGAATGAGAAATTCTAATGTGGCTATGAAAAAATCTGAATTATAATGTTAATTTTGATACACAATTTGCAAATATATGCAATGCTAGGTTTCATTTTTTTACATAAGTAATATACAAATGAAACATTTCCTAAGGAAATTCAGTTTCACTAATCAGAACTGACTCTAAATGATCAAATGCTCAACAGTTTAAAGCAATTAAGGTAATTTGAAACAAAAATAAATGTACCTTAATATACTTATAACATAGTAATGCATATCTACTATTGATCAAATTACTTTTCTCTTCTGACAATAATTGTCCATGTCTATGTTTGATGCTCAATTATACAGATGAGTGAATGAAAGGATACATTTACAAAGTATTTGAAAGCTAGGAGAGTGCGGCTGTAGTCTACCAAGTTCTTCGTTCTTCCCTTCCTCCTTTCCTCTTTCCTTCCTTCCTTCCTTCCTTCCTTCCTTCCTTCCTTCCTTCCTTCCTTCCTTCCTTCCTTCCTTCCTTCTTTCCTCCCTCCCTCCCTCCCTCCCTTTCTTTCTTTCTTTCTTTCTTTCTTTCTTTCTTTCCTTCTTTCTTTCTTTACTTATTTTTCTTTATTTTCTTATTTGTAGTGAGGTGTGTATGTGTGTGTGTTGTGATTTGAACCCAGGGCCTCATGCATGCTAGGCAAGTATTTGCCACTGCGCTATATCCTCAGCCCCCACCTACTCTTCCTTAATAGAAAGTGTTTATTATACATACCTTGTGAATGGCTGACATGGAGGGCTCATTAAAATCATATTGAAAGACAGCTTGTCAAACTCTTCCACTGAAATACCCTAAGGCATGGACATTGGGAATAAAAAAAAATGCATAGAATGAAGAAAAAAATACTAGACAATTAGAACTAAGGACATCAGAAATCATAGGTCTACCTAACACAGTGCTTTACAGTGCCGCTTCAGTTACACCAACTTCCCAAAGCAATCTAGTCAGGAAAAACAGTGGTTCCTCCCTCCACAACACTTGTTCCTCTAGGAGGTCTCAGGTGTAACACTGCTGTTTTTGGACTTGACCAAGTAGAACTTTATTTTGTAATTAACCATATTTGGCAAAGGTTTGGGGAATCTTTAAGCAGCTATCAATATACTTCTCTGTTTTGCAAGTGTGATGTACTGAATAGCCAGAAGAGTCAGTTTAGTACCATGTCAGTTTAGCACAATAATCGTAGTAGGACAAGATGAATCCAAATGATCCCTAATTGGTTCCATTTATATATGCATACAAAAATGCATATAAGTGTACACAGAAGATAAACAACAAGAAACACATGTCAGGGATTTGCCAAGTCTCATTAAGCACTCCTGACCAGAAATGTAAGAAGAATAGGCCAGTATCACAACCTCCCTAATTATTATAACAAATCTCTAAAAAGCTTGTTTTAATAAAGCAGGAAATTTTATGCTCTGAATTCCATGAAGAGTGAGTTAACCTGGGAACATGTCAGCTCTCTCCATTGAATTAAAAGTTAGTGACATGCATAAGGCCAGGAAATAACATATCAATCTTGAGAAGTGCTCATTTTTTCTAATTTGTTACAAGATATTAAAACGTTCAGAAAAGACACTGAATTTGATGATTGCTTTCAGATATAGTCGTCTTCTTTTCAATGAGGATCTCATTAAATCATATCCACAGAATCCTTACTTTAGACATTGGTGCATTTCTGAGAAAAAGCCCACTTGAGACACACTGTGAGCAGCCTTCAGATGTGTTTTTGATTAGCTTGCTCATGTTTTATTTGTAACTACGGAGTCTGTACTCATAAGACAATGGTTTGCCTATCTTGTAGCATAGAACTGATAAACAATGAAAACCTTGGCTGGCTATTTCTTATCCTGTCCTGCCCTGTGAAGGTATTTTACAAACCAATTACCATTTAATCATTTATCTAATGTCAGCTCTGAGCCTCCTTTCATCCTTTATCAGCATTTTCCTGTTATTTCTCTGGTCACTTTATAAGTACAGTATGTTCGTTCATTAAGCAATTTTTATGAATCAATTCACTACTATTTCTGAGTACCATTTCCATGGCAGGCATTGTTGTACAAACAATGAACAAGCTCGATGAAGTGTCTGCTCGTGACACTTGTACACTAGCCACTAGTAATTTCTCACTTGCTAGCAAGCTAACTTAACTGAGTACTTTGGTTTTATCTACAGCTTTTTGACTAAGGAGTTCTGCCGCTGGTTATGAACCTTTGTGTACCATCTCAGCCCAACCAAGGATGATAACAAAGACTTTTCTGGCAGGCTTTCTGGAGAAAGCTGCCTTCCTCAAGACAGACCTGGTACACAGCCAAAACTGTATCCCAGTCTCTGAAGAGAGTTGCTGTCAAGGTCTTACTGCCCCGGACAATCATGCTCTTAGCACGGTTATCTTCCTAGTCTCAGAGTGTTCATTCATTCTAAATGAATTCATTTCTTCATTTGAAAACTGCCTATCATAAGTCACCTGCTACTGTCTACTAGAAAGAGGAGGAGGAGACAAAGAATTTCCTCTCTCTCTCTCTCTCTCTCTCTCTCTGAGAACCAAGCACTCTTCCACTTCTTGGCCTCCTCCTCATCTAGTCCTCACACCATAAGCAGGGAGATAGCCTTCACCTTCATGCTGATCCATGGGAACACAAGGTAAATCAGTGTTTTTTCTTAAGTTAGATTCTGGCTGACACTTTATGACCTCACCTGCGTATGTTAACTGAAAACGACAAACTCACAGAGGCAAAGAGTAAACTGGTTGAGAGATAGTGGCTGAAGAGCACTGAGCTTCAGGTGAGCCACCAGAGTGAGTTTGGGCGATCCATTGTACAGCATGGTGAGGTACTTTGTACCTGCCCAGCAGTCTCACACAAAGTAAGAACACAGGGGGAAGAATATGCCAATTTGCTTGACTGAACCATTTTGTAGCATACATATGTGAATACATAAAAATACCATATATATATATATATATATATATATATATATATATATATATATATATAATTCTTATTTCTTGATTATACTATAAAATAAAAAAATAGTGTTTGTTTTCCCTTAGAAACATAAATGAACTGACTCTCCTTTAAATGAGCTAGAAGTGCTTCCCACAGCCCCTTTTCTTGTTTCCAATAATTTTATAGACTGTGCATATATTATGGTTTATCATTATCTATTAAAGCTAGCAAGGAAATATAATTAAAGTTTGAATCCCTCAAACTTCTATTGTACATATCTGGGGATCTCAATAGGTCCAAATACACACAATTTCTCATCATTTCTCTTAAAGAGTAGAACAGACAGGATACTGAATTGTTGAAAGTGAAGCCGGGAGTGGGTACTATACTGAGACTTTGTTGATTTGGGTTATATTTGGTTACATCTACTTTAAAATATTTATATTAAATTTGCTCTTGTAATAAAATTAACAAAATAATCAGTTATGGCATTTGCCATCTTACAGAAATTATGGAACCTATATATACCTAAGTCTGTCTGTTAAATCAATTCAGAATTACATATTTTGGGTATTCTTATTCTGGATGTGTTTATACTGCAAAATGGGGAACCACAATAGATAAGCAAAAGACAAGCAAGCTAAAAAAAAAAAAAGAAAAAAGAAAAAAAAAGTCCCAACCAAAGCATTACAAAACAAAATCTCCCAAACTACCATTGAGTTCACTTTGTGTTGGCCATCTACTGTTCACATTCTTTTTAAAACAGAGTCCATGATAGGTGAAAAAAATGAACTCTGACAAGTTTGCTAATGAGTATTCAAAAAGTAATAGCCAAGGAACCCCTTCCTTGTTGTTACCACGTGCTATAAGTATTATATAAGTAACTATTACCTGGATGGGAACCATTGAAGTTTACTATCACCTCATAACCGAGCATCTGAAGTTAAGCATGTTCTTGTCAATCTTTTCTTTCAGAAAGCAAGATATTGACCTCACTCTTTAAGTGGGTTTTTTAAATAACTTACTCCCTATGATGGGACACCTCACAAAGCCTTGAGGCAGGGAGGGGCTTGGACCTGCCTCTACTAAATGTACCTCCCCATGGGAGGCTTTATCTTCTTATAGGAGGGAATGAGGGGGTAGGTTAGGACAGGGAGGCTGGAGGGCTGGGAGGAGGGAAGATGGGGATCTTTGATTGGTGTGTAAAATGAATAAAAAATTTTCTTAATAAAAATAAAACTCCCTCTTTTGATAGAATTTCAAACATTAATTCCTCTTCTAAACTTTCATTTGCATGATTTATTTTCCAATTAAGCTGCCAGAAACCAGTATTTAGAAATTGTTAGAAATATGCATTTTCACTGCTATTATATGTGTTAAAATAATAATATATACTCACTTCAATTGTCTTTGCCAGTAAGTGTGTGTGAGGAAAATTATGCTTGTACACTTCATTAGCAACAGTATTCACATCAACAGCAGCCACCACGTGCGCAGGGATACCACTTTCTGTAAGGATAAGTGGAATATCTTCAGAGGTCGTCAGCATCAGCCCACCATAAAGAAAAGCTGAAAGAGCAGAAAGCCTGCACTGACTTGCTCCTCAGCTACCCAGCTTGATCTCAGACCCCGATAAAGAAGCAGGCAGGAGGAACGGGCAGGAAGTGGTCTTCCAGCACTACTTCCCTCAGCCTGCTGAGTGCTGAGAAGAAGATTTCAACTTTCTTACATTGTCTTAGGAGACAGCTTTCCTTTCTCATTAAACCACACGTTTAACACCTATAACACACTCTAGAAGCCCTATTATTCAGAACTTTATATAAATAAATGACCATGTATTCTCACCTTCCTGTATTAAGAAAAAGCTGATTCACAATACCACTGAAACTGCTTTTAATATAAGCTTATTTTATAATAACAGCTTCACTGAGATATAACTTACACACAACACAATCAGCCTGCTTAGAGTTTAATTTTTAAGTGAGGTAAATTCACTGGTGTCCAAATGTAAAAGGTTCAGAGCCTAACACTTAAATTTTGACAGCATAAAAGAGACAACAGAGGAAGAGATGCTCATATTAAGGTACACCTTGCTGCTGAGGAAACACATTTTCAACACAGCTTCCGATACAAAGAATCTGAACATATTTTTGGTTGTAATAAAAGTGTGAACTCTCTAAGTGTGGCTGTTGCTATACCTCATGGTTACCACCCTGTTACCTCCAACCAAGTACAGAATCAATTATGTATAGATCCTGTTCAAAATCAGGAGGAAACATGGGGAATTTTAAACATAAAAGAACCTGAAACTTGAGAAAATCATTGGTTAACATGATGAGATCACCAGCAGACCCAAACAGCTCTCTTTAGTAGCCCTTTGTTGATTAACAATCAGCTTTCCCTGGTCCAGATGTTTAAAGAGAAGGAAAATCAGGATCTAAGCGCCTTCACAGATCACAGGACAAAAGGCAGGAAAGACGCATGCTCAGAAAGTCACTGCAACCTGACATGGAATCCTAGCAAAGACAGGCTCAAGGGAACAGAGGGACTTCAATGTCTCAAGTAAATAGTCTGTCTGGTAGGCCCAAATCACTCAGCTATCCCCCCAGGTACTTCCTTTCTGTGGAAAAGGATGGTCCTCTGTGCCTTGCACATGGGCCCTAGACTTCTTAATACCGCAGGTGGCTGCCTCTGGCTAAATTTAAATGTAATAATTAGTTTCTTGATTTAAGATATATGAGTTTATAAATTGTATCTTTGTTTAAAAGCATGAAAGACTTTAAAACCTAAAACAAAAAGGTTTCTAAGCCAAAAAAATATATAAAGATTAATTTTAAAAAAATCACAGAACTTACTAATTCAAGTCACTAATCACTATGAGAACTCAGAATTCAACTCTGCTAAATATGATAAATTACAATCTCCATGGTGCAGCCTGCTTGCAGTTCCCCACAGAAGCAGGCAGGATGGCCTGGAGGTGGTTAACATGACTTTCATCTTTTTTCAGGTTGACTGAAAATCTAATCATGTGCTGAATCCATACCATAGTCAATAAGTAATTTTATGTTCTTGTATTATATGCCGGAGGACATAAAACCTGACAGAAAACAACTGCCAAATGAGTGTCTCATGTGGAGATCCAAAGCCTGATGAACTGGAAAGGAATTCTCAGAAAAGAATGGAGTTTTAAAGTCAATAAGCAAATGCACTGTTCTTGTGGACTGATGCACAGATTTTAAACTGTTATAAAACTGGAACCTACCGCACTATCAAAAAAGTTATTTGTATTAGGAAACACACACACACACACACACACACACACACACACACACACACACACACACACACACAGAGTATCTAAACCATGTTTCAGATTTTGGAATATCTGCATATACATAGCAAGATAGCTCAACATACGACCCAAGTATAAACACAAAACTTATTTCCTATATACCTTGTACATATGGCCTGGAGGTCATCTCACTGGCCCTAATTTTGTATAAAATGTTTGTTTTCTGGGCATTTTTTTACTCCAACAAATTATATGAGATCGAGTGGAATTTTCCATTCATGGCATCAAGTTGATTGTTAAAAAGTCTTTCATTTTGGAGCATTTCACAGTTTGCTGTTTAGATTAGGAAGCTCATCCTGTACTAAGACATTACTGATGTTAACTTCAACTTGATTTTTTTAAAAATTGTTAGGTACGTTTAGGTATTTAAAACAAGTGTTTAGGTATGCTTCTAAGGAGAAATTAAACTTATATGTAACAATGGAAAAAGCAAGCCAATCAGTTTCTGGCAATGTCTTAAACTAGAATCCAAAGAAAGCCATCTTAATAGTCTCTAATAAATTTTAAATCCACAGATTCCAAAAGCCTTTGAACAGCAGAGACATTTTGAAAATGACAAGTTGAAAATGTCCAAGTGGAAAGAACGCTCTAGAATTGTGCCCATGTGAGCTCTCTCACCTGAGACCCAAGTGTAATTCTCACAGGGACTAGAGGTGGGAGAGGAACCCAGCAGGGCTTTGAAAGTGGAAGGAGTTCGATCCCAGGCTGTGCATGGATTTATCCATGACATTTCAGTTAATATGCTGGATTTCATGTTTATTAATAGGAAGCACAGTTTCTTAGAAAAGTGAGACATTCTGACAGAGAAACACAATGCACTCTATTGTGAACATTGTGAGACGGGATCTATATGAAGATGATGAGGACATCATGTTTCCATTTCTGAGGACTGAAGTTACCTTTGAAGAGCAATAGTTTTCCTTCTTTTTCTGATCAAGGCTTCTGGAAAAGCTGTAGGGAAGAACTTAGCCGGTAGTGAAAGGTGCAAGTTCATTCTCTACCTGGCCTAATAGACAAACTCATGCATAGTTACTTCATGGAGAAATATCAATAGTTTTTTAAATTCAAATGTAGAATTAAGCAGTTCATACTGAAATGAATAGTTCTTAAGAACTTTTGTCTTTCTTTATCATCTACTTTCTGATCTGGCCCTCATAAAATGTTGGACACATATTTAAGTGTCCTCAACCTTACACCTGAGACATTTAATCAGGTAGGTATGTTAACACTGACCTCTAGTTGTGAAATGGTGAAGCAGATGAGTATACCTAAGGTCGTCTTCATTCAGAGACAGCTTCATTGGGAATAAAAATGCTAGGTAGAAGTGGAACTATAAAGACTTTTAATTTAAAAAATTTGAGCCGAGCGGTGGTGGCTCACGCCTTTAATCCCAGCACTCGGGAGGCAGAGCCAGGCGGATCTCTGTGAGTT